CAATAGCATTAACATGTTTTTCCATCGCAGGAGCTGCAGTTAAAAGCTCGATCAATAGGCTTTGAGTGGCATCGCTCAGCTGACTGCAAATTGGCCGTCTTTGCCCGCAGACCTCCCAGGGCGAGCCGGGCCGCCCTGTCCGAACTTCTCCAAACAGAGAATGGAAACAAAAAGAAACGGCTGCGCTTTCTCTCTCCAGCCCCTCTGAGAGCCTCCCGCAGCAACACACAGCAGAGTCACCGGCATTCAACTATTCTGGTGAATTCTTGGGTCTCTCACATAATATTAGTCCTGGCATTTCAGGCGGTTTGAACTGACAAGAAGAACAAATGAAAGAAACAAAAAGAAGCAGGGAACAGAGGAGATGCTGGACTGGAAGGAGCGAGCAGACAGAAAATGTATTCCCAGAAGAGTCTGCACAGTTTCCATCTCTAATAAAGTGAGCAGCAGGCAGGTAATTTCTTGTCTGCTTGAAGACGTTTTTCATCCATATTGCTGGTTTGGGAGATGACATGTGCTAGGAACTGGAGCATCGTTAATGAGACAGTTGGACTTTGACTAATCGCTCTGGAGAAAGCCTGGAAGATGCCAGAGACTCATGGTCCCGCTCTTCCAGCGCCTGCCCTTGACCCTCCACGAGTGCGACTCTGACTTCAGGGTGTTGCTGCTCCTGTTTTGTGATCTTTAAGCAGACGGATCCGAACATTTCGGCTCAGGTGACATAAATCTGCATCGTTGTTAAATGAATAACATCGAATGGCATTCCAAACAGAGCGTTTCCTATCCTTCAGCTGCCCAAAGCCGTAAAGCTACCTCTAATACCGGGTTAACGAACACGACTGGTGGAGACAACACGGGGACAGATGTTGCTGCGACGCAGAAGATACATTTCTATTTGCTGTTGGTGTTTGTCTCTCGGCAGGAGATGTGAAATCCTCGTCTTGATTGGGAAACAAAAATGGACGTGTGGTCTGGTACGTCTGGGGATCTTTCTGTTGTACCGCTGAGCTTCAGGTCTTCAGAGGGGGTGACACATCTCTCTGGAATGAGGTGACGCTCGCATTTTAAGGAAGACAAATGCAATACAAGTGTTTTCTTAAAATAGCTGCTACTGTATAAATGTGACTGTTTCCCTTGGGGCTGTGTTTTAATGACATGCACCAAATTAATCCCGCGTTCTCCCCCCCTCTATTCTTCCATTACTCTGTTTGCTCAGGAGAAGAATGAAAGAGTAAATAATTTTGTGCTTTCTCCACCAGTCTGCATGTTGATGACACAGCCCGAGGAGCCTTAGAGGGGGAAAGGAGGAGAAGAAGACTCTTGGCAACGGCAGGAAGCTGACACGGCCCTTCATTGTCCTATTCTCTTTCATTTCCTCCCCGGATCCTCCGACTGCCCCAGAGGAAGACAAGGTGAGGATGTGCGGGGACAGACACGAGGAGAGAGTGAAGACAAAACGAGGATGAACGGTCAGAGATAAAAATAAAACCGGATGAGGCCAAGTGCCATCAACAGTTCACTACCTGGCTCCTCTGGCTTCCTCTGTGTAGCCGAACCAGCGCGCACATCCAGTTAAAGTTGCTAAAAGCTGATAAGAGTGCCTCAGGACGCACTGCCAAGTCCTTTATCTTTGTTTACCCAAACGGCAAAGCTGATTAGAGACACACAACATCATGAAGCCCCATTGTTTCCTTTCTACGTGCAACTTCTTCTCCTGGAAATGTGGGGGGAGGAGAAGTAAGAGGATATGAAGACGGGGAGGAAGACAATGCTGTGCGAGAGCATGACAGCTTTTCAAGATGAAAGAAAAACCTGGACATTATTAAAGATCACTTGTTACAGCTGGAGTGTGTCCGTTCATTAAAGATCTTCCAATAACGAATCCCAAACCATTCCGCCTTTAAACCTTCACACACGCTGCGGATGTAAAAGCACGAGAGGGACACGGCTTTCATTGGTTTAAGAAACGAACAACAGAAAAGAAAACACGGATGAATGTACTGAAGAAGCCAGGATGATGGATCACACTTCATGATTTGTCAAAACCAACTGAAGCCAGCTGAACCCATCAAACTCCCAGAAGGGCAACAGCTGAAGAGTAAACAAACATACCAGCTGATGGTTGCTTAAAGCAAACTCTCCCTTTCTCGCTGTGTGACGTTGTTTTCAAAGGTCCTACTTCCTTATGATGCAACTTCCTGTGTCCCATCCTCTCTTTTTCATTGGCTCCTGGCAGCATGAGTTTACAGTTTGGTGGGTGACTGGTTCCAGCTAGCTGATTGTGCCCAGATTAAGGTGCAGATATGTTGGATGGAGCAGGGGTTAGGTGTGCTCCCCAACAAGCCGTGTTACTGACCCGACTAAGAACAGGTGCAGACTCTGGCGAACTGAGACTAAAATCCTTCAGCGTGTCCTCAGCCATCCCTAAAGCAGAACCTCACATGGAAAATCCAACAAACAAACAAACACATATCCATGTCCTTGCCTTCACCAAGTCTCCTAAATAATGCAAGACACTTGTGTTCGTGTTTGGATTCTGCTGTGTCTGCATATCTCACCTCCCTCGTGCAGCGGTTCATAACTTCCACTGCATCTCTCAGCCTTCTAACGCAGGCATGAAGAAGAACCGACAGAAGGAGGCAAACACCGACAGCGTGGCCAAGCTTGTGTGAGTTTGTGTGACAAGATGGAGAAAAGGTTAAGGATGCTCAGCGGACTTTCGTCCCGTGTTTACTCGCTTGCCTGTCTACTTAATCACCCAAACACCAGCGACACTTCCAAGCCTCATCCCTGCTAAGTCTCCCTGTACGCCCGTCTTTTTCCACCAGGCTTCTCCTTAAACTGTCCCCGGCTGGACTGCCTTTACAAGAATCCAAAGAGCAAATAGTGTCAGCTCATAAAAAATGCACAGCTCCTTAAAACAAACCTCATGGGCTCTGTTGTCTTCCAGGCAAGTAAAAGACTCAGCTCCTGGTCATGGGGAAGGAACGTATGACAGGGTGAGGAAGATGAGTTCATCACTTCCTCATTTCAGCTGCGAGTCCGTGTCTTCCAATGAGACATGACCATTGAGCTGATTTTGTTCTCATGTCCTCGAGTCTCAGAGACACGCATTCTGGGGGGTGAGGGGTGGGGGGCAAGGCAGGAGAGGCAAGGTGGAAAATTTCCCCGGCATTACACTATAGTGAGACATGAGTGGCGTCCCGACTTAAGAGGACGGGAGAGAAACTTGTAATCTCAGCTCGCAGCCTTTGAACTTGGCCCGATGAGACGCTGGCGACCCAAAGCGAAAGGTTCCACAGAAGAGCTCACTGAAGATTACTCAGAATACTGATGCAGTGTGGAATCCAATTCCTGCGGGAGCCCTCTGAGAGAGTAAATTATCGGTGCTGTGCACGACTACAAACACACAAATGTGTGCGCAGTGCCATGCATGTGTTGTGAAGAGAAGGGTGCAGGTTGTGGTCGGATTTTTGTTGCTAAAACACTTTCATGACCATTTTGAGCATCTGTGCTTCCGTCGAGAGAGTGACAAAGTAAATGAGGTCTAGGGTCTCTTAGGTTCTAATTAGGGCAGCTGTTACCATTTTCCTTATTTGTGTGCATTTGTTAGTGCCGATGGGGAAGGAAGAGCTGGAGCAGAGCAGGGTTGAAGTCATGGGATTGGACTACTGCTTCTTCTCGTCCAGCTGTTGCTGGTCCGTCTTGGAGCGGAGGCTAGTTGGTGTCATGTCCCTCCCTCGAGCTTTGAATAATGACAAAATCATGCGGAACGGAGGCTGGAGGCGAAGACGTATGCACAGCAAATGGGTATTTGGGTGCTGGGAAAACTTACTGCCATACAGGCAAGATTGAGAACTACTGTCTCCAAAAACCCACCACAGGGCTTAGATTTCATATCTGGAGTCCTTTTAAAAGAAGATCTGTGTCAGTGTCATGCTGCTGTGCATTCCTTATGATTTAAATTGAATGGATTTCTCTTGTGTTATGCAGAAGCTCTGGGAAAATGCTGATAAGCCACCAGATGCTCTGTGTTAATTGCTGAAAGCGTCTCCCTCTTTTTGTGTCTGGTACAGGAACAGAACAAAATTAGGAGAATAAATTGAGCCAGCTGCTCAGAAAGGCTGCTTGTTGATAAAATTGTGTTCATCTGCCTTCATTCCACTGCAGGACAACTGCATGCTGATGCATAGATGCAACTTAAACTATGAACTAGATTATTTTACAAGAGATTAATTATTCAAACGTATAAACAACAGCACGTGGGGCGTTTTTAAAGGAACCATTAAACGCATCAACTGTTCAGTCTTTTGTTCAAGCATCGGCGGTGTGTGTGTGTGTGTGGGGGGGGGGGGGGGGGGGGGATGGGTGGGGGGGACAGGTGCTGTGTGTCTCTGGATCTGAAGAAAAACAAACAATTTATCCACCTCACTCTGCACCCTCTCCCTCTCTCCCTCATGTCTCCACCTGCTCTGTTCGGAAAACCCAACCTTCGTGGTTCGAGGAGGAAAATGAACTTCAGATCTCTTCTCTTTGATGGGATCAGAGCGGACACTGCCGGCTATAACTTTGAGAGATGCAGAGAACCCCTAATCTCGGGTCCTAATCTGCGCCAGTGTCCATCCTCACAGATCCAACCCTCAACGAAGGACGGATTCCAAGTTTCACTTTCCGTGTAGGTGCGCCCGGAGCTGCTCACCAAACAACAACCGGAACTTAAACAGCCGCGTTTACACAAACAACCGCAGCGAAGCCAAATTACGCACCAGGATGATTGACTCCAGCGAAGATTTCAGAGCTTATGATCAATTTTTTATGTAAACATTCACTGACAGCAAACAGCCGAGAAAATGTAGCATTGCCGCAGATTAGCGGCCCCAGTGAGCGCTCAAAGCGGCTTGACGCAGCGGCAGTGAGTCCGGGAGCGCAGCCGTCCCTCCATCGGTACAGACCCAAACTAGCACTGCTGATAACGTGACTCATTATAATAAACGTCTTACCTGTCACCATAAAGCAGAACACGAGGTATACGGAATACATGGTCGCTGGTGTTGTTGGATGAAAATACAAGCTTTGCTCCGGTCGAACACAGTCGGTCCTCCAGCAGAACCTGGACGATCCCGGACCGGAAAGCGCTCTGAGGTTGATCTAGAACAGCATCCAGTTTAGAGAATTGTCTGTGAGCGGTCCGGTCAGTTCACTTAACCAAACAGCTCCACACTTGGTAACTTTCCCTCAGCAGCAGCAGCAGCAGCAGCAGCAGTATCCAGGGTCCGTTCCCTCACTGGCGCAGCTCGCCTCTCCCTGCGCTCTCTCCTCCTCTCCCCTCTCTATCTGAGCGTTTAGTGGTCTGGATGCTCCAGTCCAGGTTCCCCCAGCAGACACCAGCTCTTCAGTCCGCGTGCACGCTGCGCTCGGAAGCGACCTCTCTTCCGCGCTGCGCGTAGCGATCACCCCGGTCTGTAAAGTTTCCTCTCCTCCGTCCGCTGGAGCCTCTCACCCTGCTCCTACTGCGACTCACACTCACTCCCTTCCTCTACCCCCCCCCCCCTCCCTCTCTCTCTCTCTCTCTCTCTCTCTCTCTCTCTCTCTCTCTCTCTCTCTCTCTCACGCACACAACACACTCTCTACCCAGGTCTCCTCGCTTTTCTCTCTCCTGCCAATTAGAAATGCGCACAGGCAGTCATCTGGCGGTGGGGTTCAACAAATCTGGCAGGAGCTGACCCTCTACCTCTGATACCTAATCGGGGGCCCAGTGGCCCCCAGCCCCCATGGGGGCTGCGATTGGCTTGCAGGAGTTTTTAAAGTATCTCAGTGAAATCTAACATTTTAGGGTGAATTATTTTTATGTCCTTTGAAGAAAATGCACAGGCTAACTGTTGATTTAATCACGGAATCTCGTGCGTTTGGGATGAAAAGTCCCCTTTGATGGCTAAACTGGTCAACAACCACAATTTAACCCAAATGACTCTTTTAACTGGTTACTTCACCATCGGGTGAACCTGGGACATTTTTTATACTATGGATTCCCGACGTTGCTTTTCTTTTCAGGGGTTAAAGGTCATTGATTGTAGGAATAAATTTGACCCCTTTTATGTGAGTTTTAAGTAAGGTTATCTTGGATGGACGAGATACAGCAGTTTCGGTCATGTTTAGACAATAGAGCTCTGGACGTCACGTGACTCAGAGAGTAGATGCCATGTTGGCAGGCAACAAAGGTAAACAAAATGAACGGGATCGGCTTGGATTTTACTCCGTCGAAGTTTACTTCACACTTTAAAACAGATGAAATCATTTTATATAGTCAGAAATTAAATAGACTAAACATCTCCGACCCTTACCGTGCCCCTGGGATGCTTTAAAAACACCAGAAGCTGTTGGAGCAGACCTGGCCAGGGAATGTCTTGGATTTCCCCGGAGGAGCTGGCCCAAGTGGCTGGGGAGAGGGAAGTCTGGGCCTCTCGACTTAAGCCTGATTTATGCTTCTCCGTCTGCGTCAGTGCGGAGACACGCAACGCCATTATCCGTCCTTGCGTAGGGCACGCAAGTTTGTACGGAGTTGAGCCCACTTTTTTAAACATCCGTCGAACGAGACGGATGATGCAAGCTTGTGATTGGTCAGGACGCCGCTGTTGTTTACAGCGCCGCCATTGCAAAGAGAGCCGAGGATAACTAGCGGCAGACACGGAGCAGCTTGAAGAATACCTCGCGAAAAAACTCTAAAAATATGAACGTTTCATCCACCTGTGACTGGAGGAGTGAAAAGATGCGCAGCAAGCATTTTATTTGTGGACGGAAATGACAGGAAACGTGGGTTTAGAGGTGGGGAGCGCATGAAGCGGTGGGAGAATGAGAGACAAATATGTCCGTGTTAAAAGTCTCTTATAAACACAAAAAACACAATATAAACACACGATCTTGGACCGATACATGACAGGATACCACAGAACAGCGCTACGCCCTCTGTTGTCCTGCCGGGGAATTGCTTTGCAACACTCCCCAGGAGACGGAGAAGTAAAAGAGCAAAACGCTTCCATCAATCCGTGCGTGTCTGTCCCTTGTGGAGCTGACGGAGAAGCATAAACCAGGCTTTAGGCTACTGCCCCCGCAACCCGACTCCGGATAAGCAGATGAAAATGGATGGATGGACAAATAACATAGATTTACATGTAAGTAGTTTAAATAGAGTGCTGTGCTGTTTGAATGTATAAACTGAACGCCAAGAGAAATCACTAGTTTGTTTTCCGTGAATTAAATAAAAATGTCAGGCAGGAGCGTCTCAGGATCTGTCAGAGATCTGTCTCGGTGAGACAGATAATAGCAATCCAAAGTGCTTTTTATGTGTGATCTGACAATTGATCAACCATTGCTTAAAAATTAAATACAGCTTAGCCGGTTAATTGCTGTGATCATAAAACACGTAAACGGCAGCATGCAGAAATCACGAGGCAACGTTTTACGTGATGTTTACTTGTTGCTATGAGTAATAAGACAGAAAAAGCCACGGCAAAATAAGTTTAGGAAGCCCACTAAGAATCGTAATAAAAGCATTTAAAATAAATACCATACACAGTTGAGGAAACGTTGGTTTAAGTACCTGATATGAAGTGGTCGCTGCATAAGCGAAAACCTTTACTCTCGGGATCCCACAGCGCGTTTTATTACAATGATCCAACGTTTGCGGCGCTCCGGACCTTGGGGAATCCTTTAGATGGTTCATTCCTTATGTTGTCCGCGTCTGTTCTGCATCCTGGGGCACAACAGGAATCTACCATATTTCCCGTTTGAATTAGTTTTCTGACAATAACAAATAGCCCATTCAATCAATTCAGCTTCTGCCTGCCAATATGGCGCCAATTCGATTTGAAACCGGGAGAAGTGACGTCAACTCCCGGAGCTCTATAGCATGTACTGATCTGTGTTAATCCCAGATTTCCACTGATTTTTAGATATTCTGAAGCCAACACAGAAGTGACAACATTACAGTTCCACCCTCATCCGCTAGGGGCTGGTACCTTAAGTGAGCAAATCCTCATTGACTCCCATGTTAAAAATGCAAACCTCACAGCAGAGCTCAGGTATGCGACTCGGGTGCCTGGCTCCTAGTGCAGCGGTCTGAGGCTGCGCTCATATTTTAACAGTCAATATTAGCCCCCAGCTGTATGTGGACATGTCAGAGGTTAGCACAGTTAGCTGATAGCTACATTGATTCAGAGTTTTTGGGTGTCAATCATTTTCTCCCACCCTCACAGCCCCTCTTTCAGCTCCATCTCTTTCCCAGTTTTGGTTTGCCCTGGCATGACGAAACGTGTGACACGGCCAAGATGGCGGTGGTGGGAACTGCCCATGGCTTCATAACCGTCTTTTAAAGGGAAACGGGTAAGCTATGTCCTGGATCATTCTATGTCTGTGGTACCGACACAGACGGAGAGGAATGAACTAGGCCTCACTGCTGTGTGCTGCGTTTCACAGACCTTCTGTGTCTGGTGGATAGGCCGGGTAGAAGTAGGAGTAGTGTTGTAAATTATTCTCTAATTAATATCTATTAACAGTGACGGCCATCTTGAATGAGGTTGACTCAAAAAAAAAAAACAATAAGGATTTTCTGAAACTTTCTTTTGCCGTTTTTACAAAACAACGCCATCAACTTGCCACGACGCCATGATGGCACCAAGGAGCCTTAGGTCGTGTATAAGTGGTCAGACCGGGACGGCAATGTGGTGCAATCATGTCCTTTTTATAGAAGATGACACCATAGTGATGTTTTTCCTTGTTTGTGAAGTCTGTTCACTATATTGTAAAAAAACGCAGAAACAGCACCAGCATGCGCTGCCTAGTGACAACATCCACAAGAACCACGCATCTAAACACAGAACAAAACACATTCATGTGTACTTTTAATCCCTTTTACAGTTTCTTTTTCTTTGTTATCAAGTTCACACTCGACCACAGTGTAATGGCCGTAGGATCAGGAAGAAGAGACACTAATTTAGAATAATTATCAAAACTAGCAATTGTTGTTTTAAACTATTACAAATTAAAAAGCTGCACCATTAACACAGCATGGACGTGACTGTTGGCTACAACTAGAAATAATATCAGCTCATTTTTTGTCAGGCCGACTGAATTATCAGTTTTTGAGTTTTATAGGACGGGCTGACTATGGCGGCCATCATGAAATAGGTCAACTCCAAAAGTTAAACAGATGTGGAGGGAAATTCAATTGTTCATTTCTGAGAGATACATTCAAATCCTCCCAATGATTCATGAGTTAGTTAGCTCATAGACAGCCAGGATCGACTCAAAGTTAAAGGAAAAGTTAAACACAAAGACATGAATCCTCAGAGTATGTGTTGGAGATGATTCTTGGTCGCCATGGCACCAAATATCAGCTCAGTATTAGAAAGGATTACTGTGTACAGTTTACACTGACCAAAGGTTTAAAGCAGCAGGTTTACCTCAAAAGTTACTGTAAGTGGTAATAATCATGGGATGTCTCGGTAAGATGGCAGAAAAAGGTATGCACAAGCAAAAACATCACACTGTGCCTTCGACCGTTAGGATGTAGAGGCTAGCTTCTGTTATGTTACCCTTTGTTATTTAAAATTCACAAGAACTCTCCAGTTTCCTCCAGAAAGTTACAAAAACAACTTTTCTTTTCAGTCCATTGTGACTCCACCACCCCTGAGATTTGGAAATGAAACCAGTTGCATCAAACTGAGAATTAAAATGTTGAGTTGGCTAACCTCAACACTTATGAAATTATAAATAACCAATTACTGAGTATAAAGAGTGAGCTTTTATTTCTTGCTGCTGTAACCTCTGAGTTCACGATTTGGCGTCATTCATTTAATTATTGTTGTTTGCCGTTCGGTGGACATAAAACCAGCAGAAGCATTATCATGAGAAAAAACAAGAACAACAAAGCTTTGGGCTTTTTTATTAGAGACACAAAAACAACGCGTCCTCTCATCTGCCTGTGGCTGCGAGTGGATTTACTCTTTGATGTTCTTCATTGCTTATTCAGGGATCTATTGATTAACCACAAATAATAAGCCTCGCAGTCATCTGCCTAATCAGTCTTCCATTTGTGTGTAGCATCAGGCAGAGTCATGTATACCCCTCCCCCCTCTTCATAACACACACACACACACACACGCACGCACGCACGCACGCACGCACACACACACACACACACACACACACACACACACGTGCACACACACACATGCCCTGTTAACTCATCCAGGTGGTTAGGACTCTGTAAGAGCGTGAAAAATTCATCAAAGAGCGTCGACTTGGACACTGAGGATTCTAACATGTGTGGATTCCAGAAGCGTCTCTCTCTGTCACACACACACACACACACACACACGCACACACACACACACACACACACACACACACACACACACACACACACACACACACACACACACACACACACACACGTAAAAAAATTTTCTTGACATTTCACTCTGCATTTAATTAAACACCACAGCACACAGGTGATTTGGGTTCACTC